TCCAACAGTGCTTGCCAACACAAGGTGATGCCCATTAAACAGCTTTCTGCGGAGGCTGTTTGGGCTGTGGGTACAGCTCACTGTTCCCCTTCCTGCCCTGCAGTGCCTGGGGCTGGTTGGTTGACCAGTGTCTTGGAGGGCACATGCTGCCCAGGAGAGGGCAGAGCCAGCCAGGCTGGGTCTGTACTTCCTCCACCTCAGCTCAAGTTCCCCCCAGTGCAATCACATCTACCTCGACTGCCTGAGGACTGTGCCTGTAAGGATGGAGGTTACCTTGTGCCAACACACAAAGGGCTGTAGCTACATCAGTTCACCCTGCCTTTCCCCCAACCCCTTTGCCAGAACGTTCCTGGCTGTGCTTTTCCCCCTCTTCAAAGCCATCTCTTCTCTGATGCTTCATCTCAGTACATTATATTTGTCAGGACAAAAAGGCAAGGACCAACCACAACCATTGTAAAAACATGTACATCATGAGACCGAAATAACTTACATTATTTACAGGAACACATCGAGGTATAAAATATATGTACACAACTTGCCCTGTGACATACCCAGACTGCTGGGCTGGGCTGCATGACCCAGCAGAGACAAAAACCACACCTTCAACAAGAGTTGGCCTCTAGAAAACAGCTCTGAGCAAGAGAAGGCACCTGCTATTTGCAATGCTTGTGCAGCAGGCAGTGGTGATGGAGCAGGTGACGTGATGCTGCTGCTGCCTGAGCCCTCCCCAGGACTGGACTGGAGGGTGCTGGGTGATCCCAGGGCACGGGACATGTGGAAGAGCTGGCAGGTACCAGGCAGAGCTGTTATGGATGAAGGGAGAAGCCCCCTTGGGCAGGAGGAAGGTACAGGGCTGTGCTTTTCTAGGGGTGATGCCCAGGAACCCAGACCAGGGGGCCTGGGGGATTGGGGCTGTGCTGGGCTCCCTCCCAGTTCCAGCTAGAGCACCAGGAGGGCTGGGAGTCCCCTTTTCTCCTCAGGAAGGAGGGTGCTCAGGGAGGGTGTTGCAGCCTGCAGGCTGGGAGCTTGCTGAAAAGCAAGTGGGAGATCCATGCTCTGCAGGGATTGTACCTGCATCCTGTCCTGCATGGAACAAGGGAAGGACTGGGATAGAGGCACTGGGAGAGCACCTTGGGGAGCAGGCACCAGTTCTACAGCACCAAGGCAGGAGGCAGAAGCTTGAGACCCCAAAGCAGCTGTGCTTAGAGGTGCTGGGGAGGAACAGTGGAGGGAACAGGACCCTAGTGCCCAGCTCCTCACAGCTGGCCAGACTGGGAGATGCAGCACCAGCCTGTCCTCTTGTGCCACAGGAGCTGCGAGTGCCAGGGATGGGACAGTGCCCAGGCTTCCTGGTGGGCTCAGAGTGGTTTGGGGACCCTTGTGTGCAAAGCTCAGCTCTGGGCCAGCACTACACTCTCAGCAGAGGCGGAAGCTGGCCTCCAGCAGAGGCAGAAGCTGGCCTCTGCATGCCAGAGTGGGGATACCCATGGGGCAAGAGTCAGGCCCTGGGAACAAAAGCAGCACCCAGCGATTTGAGGAAGGTAAGGACCTCCCTGGACTGCAGCTATCAGGCCAATGCACCCAAGGGCAAAGCAAAATGAGGTGCATGGTGCAAAGGCAGCTTGAAACTGTCCCTGCAATGACAGGGGGATTCAGAGGCCACAAGAAGGTACTTAAGCTGTGCATGTCCTGAGCCCCAGAGGAGCTTCCCAGCACAGTGCAAAGGATGACACAGCTCACCTGCTTCCTCCAGCAGGCAAACAGCCCTCACCTGAGCCCGTCTCCACCTTGGCTGTCTAAGCCCATGGCCCCATGCTGAGCTCTGGAGGACCAGAGTCCCAGGGGCCACCCTTGTTGCATGTTGGGACCTTGTGCTTTAGTGTTTGGGGGAACCTGCCCCTCCTAAACTGGCTCAGAGTGTGGCTCAGAGCTGTGAGCCCCTTTCCAAACCCTGTTGTGCCAGGAAAACAGGATACAACCCTGTGTCAGCTTCCCAGCCCCAGGCAGTGGGGAATGTGGGGCTTCAGGGTTACCCTGGTTTACGTTCAGTGTCTGGGACTGGATCTAGATTCAGCTATGGGGTTTGAGGATAAAATAATCAAACATCACACATAAGAACGATGTTCCCTCACAGACCTGGATGGAGGCTTTAGCATGACCAGTTCCCTGCTGCTCCAGGCTGCAGGCTCTGGAAAATGGGGACTAGGACCAGTTCATTCCAGTGATGTGCTTTGCATGGACATTCTCCACTCAAGAAGGGCTTCACTGCACCCTCTGAGAACAGAGGCAGGAATCCAGGTTGAGCTGAGCCTTTCAGAGGTCCTTTTCCATCCTTCAAGGGGATAAAAGGGACCACTTCCAAACTGCAGATCAACACAGTAACTGATAGCAACAAAGCTGAGACTCAGCCCAAGCACCCCACCAGCAAAAGAAGCAAGACCTCAATGTTGTGACTTAGCTGGGGGGAATCCCACTGCAAAGATGAGAGCTTGATGTGGGTCCTGCTGCACGAGGGTCCATACAGTGAGATGGGGGTGAGGCCATGTGTCCCCAGCATGAATTCAAGTGTGAAAAACAGTAACAACAATTAAGAGAAGAAAAAAACCCAACAGCACCTCCCCTACACAAACCCAGTGACAACAGCACCCGGCTTGCACCGTGAGGTAGCTAAACCAGATCAACACCCAGGAAATGTTCTTCTGCATGGGAAATACCAACCCACACAGATACTAAAACACACACACACATGCACACAGAGCTAAGGGATCACAGTTACCCCTCTCTTCAACGACCCCCTGTCCAGTCACTTGCTGCTGTTCTGCAGCACCTGCAGGCTGCAAAAGCCTTGAGGCCCCTTCAAGATGCTACTGGACGTAGCAGCGAGGTGGATGCTCAGCATCAGGCAGGATTGAACACTCAGCCCTGGGAAATAAAGCAGGCACTTGCAGCCTACACACAAGAAGAAACTGGTGGCGAAAGGAAAGATCTGACCCCAGGAGTCCCCCAGGAGTAGGTTCTTTCATCGACTTCAGCAGGGAGCAGCGAGAGGTTCCGCATCAGGCACTGGCAGATCTTGGTGCAGACATTGATGCACATGGTACACCTGGTTACAGACACTCAAACACACATCCTTGCCCAGACACACACACCACCCGTTCCAGCCGAGCAAAACTTTCACCGGCTCAGGAATGAGCAGGGAAACCCTTTCCAAGGAGGGTGACACCTCCTGAAGCCCCAGGTCTGTGCCTTATTCTTGCTTCTCCATCAGCCATGGCAGGAGGGCTCCTCACCTCAATGCAGGGCTCAGACATGATCGCCAGGGACTGCTCACTGTCCTGGGCAGGGTCACACTCACACATACTCATCACACCCACCACGAAGGCAAGCCAGTAGGATGGGGTTTTCCCCCAAAATGAGCCACAGGTAGTCCATGAGTCACCATGGTTGGAAAAAGCACAGGGAAAATGGTCTGTGGGGCAGGTCCTGAACCCCTGTGGCCTCTGAGATCCCAGTTCAATGCTGGTGGGATCTCATGAAGAAATCTTTAAATCTGAGTTCAAACACTGCTTCTTCTGTGACAGAGAACACCAGGTTCTCCTCGGCCATCCTGGGAGAAGCCATGCCTGGCCCAGGGCAGGACGGAGCAGGAGATGATCCAACAGGATTGATGGAGGAAAGCTCCACTGTGAGACCAAGGCCTCACACACCCTGGAGCCAGAGGGAGGAGGGAGCCTGGGGAAGCTGCATCCTTGGGTAAAGAGTCCTGGGCAGAATCCCCAGCTTTTCATGGAGATTGGACTGTGCAAGTTCATCCACTGCAGGATTGTCCTTCAAGCATGGGGTGAGTCAGGAGACTTGTGCAAGATGAGTGTGTGCAGCTCCTTCCTAACCCTGCTTCTGGCCCATCCTCCGGCTGCTCCGTGCCTTGCTTGGCCTTCTCTGGCTTCTAGATCCATGGGGCCAATGGGCCAAACCTGAGCTAGTCCTTCCCAGGTAGAGGGCTGAGAGCAGAGCCTGGAGGAAGGATTTACAGCTTCCAGAAAAGATGGGTCACAGGGTTGATGATGATGAATCCAGCCTTGGCTTCTTTGCCCTGTAACCTCTGTTCTTGCTTTGTTTCTCTACCTCAAGGGGGTCAACATGCTGCAGGAACCCACCACAAAAGCCTTGCTGAGGGCCAAAGTTTCAAGAGCAGGGCTAAGCAGCCCTTCCCCACTGCAGAGCACAAGGGCAAGAGCCCATGAGCCATGGTTCAGCTGAGTTTATGACTGGGGTATAGAGAATGTCAAAGGGAACTGCAGCAGGTTTGTCTGTAAGTTGACTGATGGAGATGTTCTCAGGCTTGCTGTGCATCCAGAGCTGGGACATACCAGAGCTGGGACATAGCAAAGGAACTCAGAGGTGCCCACCTCCAAGTGCTGGGAACAGGTAAATGGAGGATGTGGAATGATTGGACTACCTGGAAATCCTTCTCCAGACTGCCCACAGCAGAGAGGCTGTCCCACAAGTAACGGCTCCAAAAAGCAGCTCCTCTATGCTGTGGTCCTGGCCAGCAGACACCAAATGTCCTCGTGGCTGTGGAGTGGAGAAAGACTACTGCAGGAACCAGCCCCGGACCCAGCAAGGACAGAAGCAGCACATCATGGTGGAGGCCACGTAAGCCCATGGAGGCAGTGGAGTGTCTCAGAAGGAGTCAAGGAGATCTGATGCCCAAAGTTCCCATCAGGCATTACAGCAGGGTGGGTGACAAAAGAGCTGAAACACTTTCTGGTCACTGGAAAACCATCAAGAAACCTCAGCAGGAGGGAAGGTGGAGCTGATGATGCCCTCACAGGAGCTAGCAGCCAAAGTACCAGATGGGACATCCTCCACCCCTCCGGGTCAGGCACAAAGAAATCCCTATCCCTGGGCTGAGCTCCTAGAGATGACCAGGTCTTGATAGGGAGGGAGAGGTACCCCAGCCTTCACCCTCCTGTCACGTCCTCCAGTCTTTGCAGCTCCTAGTTGGACCCTGCGGGTAACCTCCTCCCGCTCCAGAGCTTCACTGTCAAGTCACTGAGAAACAAAGGTGAGAGGGATGGTGTGACCCCAGGGGTCCTGCAGAGAGGAGCAATACTGCCCGCCCCCAGCCCGTGGCAGCATGCACCCCACAAGACCCTTTTCTCATGGCAAGAGGTTGCCCAATCCGTTTTGGGGAGCAGACAGGCCCAATGGGGCTCAGCCTCCAGCTCACCCCACTGGCAACAGTTGGGGACAATGAAAAATGGTGACCTCCAGGGCTGACCCTGACAACAGGACTCTGCACCCCACAAGTGACTCTAGGTCAAAGCAGTGACACTGCAGGGAGCTGCTGTGCTTGGTCTTCCCAGGGCATGGGCTGGTACAGGGGTGGCTGCTGACTCCCACCCCACCATCCATGCAAGGGGGTGGGCAAGGCCACAGTGTCCTCTGAGCTGCCACAGTGGATGTAGGCACTCAGCAAGGAGAAAAACCAAAGCAAGGAAACCAAACTACCGCAGGGGTGTGACCGGGACAAGGGGACAAGTCTCTTCTAGCAAAGCTTTATCAAGTGGGGAAAAACGCAAAATAGTTTCATACCGTGAAGAAGCAGCTCAGACCAGAGAGAAGGGAAGAAAAAGAGAGAGGGGGAGGGAGAGAGGAGTGAAAGCAAGCGACAGAAAGACAGAGGGAGAAAAAGATGGAGAGAAAGAGGAAAGGGAAGAAAAGACAGAAGAAGACTGCATGAGCAAGAGAGAAAGAGCAGGAGGGTCAAGGCAGACTAGTAGCACGGCCCTTTATGGCAAGGACGCGTCGTGGAAGGCAAGGGGTGAGCCCAGGCACGTAATTCCATAACTTTACCCGGCAGTCACTGTGGCACAGATGGGAGGTGGGGAGGAGGAGAGACAGAGAGAGACAGAGAAAAAGGAAGGGAGAAAAGGGACATGGTGGAAAAGAGGATATCAGAGTCTTGCTGCCAAAGAGCTCCCCGAGAGCAGCAGAGGATGTCCAGCCCCGGGGAGAGGGAAAACCCAAGGCATCACCAGAGCATGGGAAGGGGATGGTCAGGCACTGCAGTGGGCAGGCCATGACATGGGGCAGGCTAAAGGTGGACAAGATGAGATGGAGTGGACGGACTAGAAAGCTGTGAGACTCCCCCTTTCCTTCCCTCCTTGCTCCCTGTCCACCAAGCACAAACCCACCCAGGCCTGGGGATGACACTTCAACCCAGGGCTCTCCCACCTCCCCAGGGGCTCTGGGAAACAGAAAGCCCGGGGCTCACCTGGAAGCAGTGAAGATGTGCTTTGAGTTGGTGCAGATGGCATTGATGGGGCTGTCGTGCCCCTTGATCTCCCCAACTGGGGTGAAGGTGTCCACGTTCCACACTTTGATCATGCCTCCTCGGCAAGCGCTCAGCACCATGGGGCGCCCAGGGATGAAGGCCAGGGCACACACCCAGTCTTTGTGGGCATTGGGGATTTGCTGTAGGCACAGAGCAGAGATCAGGAGTAACCTCATCTGCAGCAGCACCACCAACCTCATGCACCCAACACGGGTCAGATCCTTACTGTTGTGCCCTGGGGCTGATCTGGATTGTGGGACTAATGAAGCAAAGTTAGGAGGCCAAGAGGATGGATTCAAAAGTCAGGGTTTGTTTTCCACCCACCACCTCCATGGGCAGGAGATAACATCTGATCTTCAGAGAGGAACACCTCACCCAGCACTGCAACTGATGCTGCAGCCTGTGTGCCAGAGGGAGCTGGCAATCCTGAGTGCCCTACAGCACAGAGCCACCCCATCCATGCACTGCCACATTCCTAGGAATGGGAATACCCTCCCTGGTGAGCTCAGTGAAGGACACTGGCATCAGGTCCCTGGACAAGAGTCCTGTCAGTAGCAATACTCCTCTGCCACACGTTACCCCAAGTTACTCTGAGGACCTGTACCATATGCTTCCCTCCAGACCTGGATAAGTTCCTGCTGCTCCAGATCCCACTTCTTTATGCCATTGTCCCTGGAGCCGCTGAAGAGGATGTCTCCCTGGATGGCCAGGCACTCGATGCCATCATAGTGAGGGGGCTCAAAGTTGTGAGTGGGACCAATATTGCCCGCCATGCCCTCAGCAATCTCAAATACCTGGGGGGAAGAAGAGTGAGGAAAGACCTCAGATGGCACTGGAAACGGAGCTGACCCTCTCTTGGAGAATGTGGCTATCACCCCCTCTGTTTTCCAGGCTCAGGGCACCCAGGCTGAGTCTGGAAAGGGGAGAGGGAATTGGCATTCTGTACTGAGGAGGAGGACTGAGCATAACAGGGTGAGCTGCAAACCTGGGTCAGCCGTAACATGCAAGTACCAGCCACAGGAGGTACTTGCCTGAGGGAGAGGAGAGCCTGAGGGAGGACAGAAATGCAAATCCATCTCCAAAGGTGCATTTCTATCACGGACCAAGCAAGACTTGGGGTGAGGAGATACACAAAAATCTCCCATGCAGAGATGAAATCAGAATCTGGGCTCAGATTTCAGGAGAGAGAGAGTTTGGGGGTTGGAACCAGATGAACTATTCTATGATTCTATGATCTTTAGGTTCTTTCCAACCCAAATCATTCCATGATTCTATGAGAAGAGACGTTAGGGGTTAGTAACATTTGGGCTTCCCTGTGTGACACAGGGCTCTGCTCTTGGAGGAGGTGAGTACCTTGACATAGTGATCTTTGGAGCCTGTGACCACCAGGTCGTGGTTGCTCGCCGTCTGGTTTACCGTGAGACACATCACAGGCCCAATGTGGCCGCTCAGCTTCCCGATGGGCTGCAACCTGAGTTCAATGACATGGGTCAGCTAGCCCCTTCCTGGCTGCTGGAGCTCATCCAAGGGGCTCTCCCAGGAAAGGGTTCCCATAGGGGTTGTTCATTTTGGGGGACTGTGAGC